TTTCCTCCCTTTCTTGAAGATAGGCACCACAATGGCCTTCTTCCAGGCTTCGGGCACTACACCAGAGAGCCAGGAGTTCTCAAAGATCCGTGCCAGAGGCTGGGCTATGATGCTCAACAGCTCCTTGAGTACCCTCAAGGAGGTGTGAGTAATAGACATTTCCTATGTCTATTACACACACTAAGCATTAGATTATTCATGGATAATTACCTGCAAACATTTTTCCACAGGGGAAAGGATCCCCCACTCTAATTCATTCCCTTGTTTTGCAAAAGCGTTGTAGAAAAACAAGAACTAATGTTCTATTAATTCTAGTCTAACTTTTCTCAGGGGAAAAAAAAAGAGTAACAGAGGCCTTTTAATGTTTTTAACATGACAGCAGTTCATATGTGAAAATGAAAATATCAGTTATCTGTTTAGATTTTTAGAATACACAAAATTAAGTTTTAACTGCATATTTAAATATGTGGTCACATTGCAACATTAAATAACCAGGAAAACACTTACCACTCTGCCTGTCTGTTTGAGGAGGTCTTCAATGCACAGTGGGTTCTGTCTTCTTCTGTGTACCTTTTCATGATCTTCTTTTCCTTAGAAGAGAAGATAGTGCTTATGGCATGACTTGTTGGGCCATGTTGTGGAGGGGTGAATTTAAAATTAAAGACCCTCTGGATTCTGACGTTCTGTAAGCAGGTGCCTCCTGATTAAGCTGGCAGAGTAGAAGGAAAATAAGAAAATAAGCTTGGTAGCTTTCAAATGTCAGTTCCACCTGTGAGAGAGAGAGTCTTCTGGATGACCAAGATACCAAACATTGAACAGATCCCTTCAAGAACTGAGAAGAATTGAGACGATATATTTATATTTCTGTAGAGAGTTTTCAGGTCTAACCCATATGGCATTAGAATGGTGTAGCATCTTAATTCTCAATTCTTGCTGATACTGATTTGGTAGGAGAGGCTAAAATTGCACCAAAGGAAATTGGCATAAGTAATTTCTTTGAGCACCTTGCCAGTCTTAATATCATTGCAGTGAAAAGGCATGCTCATTTATGTAACACACTGGGTAGAATTTAGAGTTTTATGAATTAGTACTTCCTTGCAATTTGCTTACTAGTAAAGGCAAAAGCAGACTTACTGACATGTTCTCTACCTGTGGTGAGAAGAAGAATGGCCTTGCAGTTGTCCCTATAATGAAGGAGTTATATGGGTTGATGACCAAAGGTAGAAGCTCACTGTGAGCTGAGGAAAAAGAGCAGCCTGTGCTAACTAACAGAAGTAAACTATTTCAAACCATACCTATCTTGGATTTTCTATGTAATGTGTATATACTGGAAAGTGATACTGAGACTGTCCTGCTCACTGCCTTTCAACACTATATCCAGAGCATAAAATAAATGTGTAGGTTGAACACTATGAAAAATGTACAACTATCTATCAACTAACTTGGACAAGAGTTATGAGAGGCTGGTACTAGAAGGGCCAAAGGACAATGAGGAGAATTGGTGGGATGTGATTACTCAAAGAAGGAGGGCCTCCAGAACTGAAGAGGAGCTAACTGAAGTTAGCAACTGCTTTCAAGAGCTCTGCAGTGGAACTGCTGAGGAAGAAGCAGAGGAGAGGACATCTGCAGGCATGAGGCAGAGAAGGTAGCAGCCTAGAGAGCAGGAAGTGTAAGGTCCCAAGGACAGGCAGTGCACCAAGAAGGAAGAGAAGAGTGGTGGTGTTTAGTGGGGGACTTGTGTGTGTGGGGGGGAGAGGCACCAATTTGTTGAGATCCTTCTGAACTGCATTTTCATCCTTGCAGTCCTTCCCAGTTTTGTGTCATCTGTAAACTTGCTCAAGAAGCTTTTTATGCCAGCATCCAGATCATTGTTGCTCCACCCCAGCCCTCTTTTTTCTGCTATGTGTTGGGGTGTTTTTAAGCCTCCCCAGAGGCATTGGGTATTATCTACAGTTAAGGCTGGGGTGTGCTGATTTTCCTGTCTTGCCTCTCTGCTCAGGGTCAGACTGATTGCCGTATTTGGGGTCAGAAAGAAATTTTACCCCATGGTCAGACTGGTATGGACTGTGGTGGTTTTTGCCTTCCTCTGTAGTGGAGGGCAGTGGGGGACCTGGGACCTCTTGGGCATTTTGTAGAAGGAGGATATTGGCTGCTGAGGTTCCCCTGCTTTACCTATGGCAGGTTAGGGTGTTAGGTTAGGTTCATGTTGTGGCAGGGTCGAGGGTAGTCTTATACAGAATTTAGACTATGGTTATTTTGAATCATGTGGACAAAGATGATCCAGCCATAGGCAGAGGTTAGACTGGATGACCTCTGGAGGTCCCTTCCAGCCCTACTTCTCTATGCCTTTATGAATCTATGACTTTACATGGTGTAAATTTGTCTAATTTGTTACATTACTTATTTAATAATGTAAAGCTCTTCACTTTCTCCCCTCTCCCCTCCTTCCCCATGCACCCTGAAATGGTTTCATGTATAAAGCATGGACACACTTTGAGGTTTTTATGGCATGAACAACTGGTGCCACCCAAGACTGGGAGGGTGAGCGGGGACTGCTCGCAGCTGCCGCTGGCAGTGTTGGTGGTGTATGTGTATATGGGGGGCAAGCGTGGACTTCCCAGAGACACCAGTGGCGGCCAATCTCAGGGGCGGCATGTGCCCCCGACGTTTCCTCCCTACACGTCGCCTATGGTTTATGGTATTATATAAGACTTGCAGAAAAAAAAATCTTTGAATACTACAAATTAAAAAAAGGGGGAAGTGGAAATGTGAAATAAGGAGAGTGGGAGGGAAAGACTACATAAAATGCCAATAATATCCACGTTTAAAAACCTCACTGAGTAGAGAAACGGTTGATGTGTTGAAGTGAGGTTGGATGAAATGAAAGAGTTATTGGGGGTGTTAGTTTCTGCTCCATCAAGAAGTGAAACTCCTAAAGGTCAAAAGGTATTTGAGCACAAATGTCTGTTAGAAGGTCCTAACTGCAGCCACTACTGCATATGAATAATAAAAAGAGAATGTTTTTCAGCACTTTCTGCCCACCACCAAATGCTAGTAAATTCTGCAAACACTGTGGTAATGTACATCAAATCATTTGTGAGCTCCTGCATAGATGCTCACACTAAAGACACCTTCTGATCTTGGCATCAGTAATCTGAGCAGAAAACAGTATGTGATAGCTGTAGGTTTGGCAAAATCCCTCCTCTCTCCATCACAAAGACCACACTGAAACTCTCAAGAATGTCCTAGAATTCCCTTCCATAGTTCTATAAATAGAGGCCACAGAATGGCTAGTAAAGAGAATATTTACTCTATAGATATTGTGGGAGCCAGAATCAAAGTATTACTATTATATGCATCTCCTAGGTCTCTCAGAATAGTAGCTTTTCAGACACACACATATGAGCAGTCCAAAGCCAGAATTCAACCCACAATTTAATATTGGGTCTAGTATACCTAAGTCCAAAGGGAAAATGTAAATGTTTCCAAGCTAATAAATATTTTAACACAGACCAAAGTTGCCACCTTCTTTGAGATTGTCAGTATGCCAGAGAAAAGATTTTTTCTGAACTTTTCAAAATTTTATTTTTAGAGAAAACAAATGGCCTGAAAGACTTTACAGCCAATTGCTACAAAAACAATGTCCAAGCCTCGCACCAGATCTTTTACTCTGGATCTGTATTTACTGACTGACTGGCTTATACAAGAACTAGAAAAGTTGCTGTTATTTCTCTAAAGCATTGGCACAAGATGAGCTAAAGTGACATTAGTATTCTTTTGAGACTTATAACAATAACCTCCCAAGGATCATTCTGTGATTGTCTCCAAACGTCAAACAATTAATCTGAAAAGTACTCTAATATTCTTTTGGGTTTTTTTACCCTTTTGTTTATGGCTTATTTGATTGATTTTAGTTTGAGAGATTTTTTTTTTAATCTACAGCACTTAATTAAAAAGTAAAAGCCAAAATTTCAAAATTTTTTACACCTTGCATAACATGTGGAAACAAATCATAACTGTAAGATCACATAGATATATTCATATAATAAATACATGATGAACATTGACTCATTATCCTGACTCATACAATCTTATTTTATTAGATTCCCTGGAAGCTAGATTCCTTGAGTAAGCTAAAAGCTTCATTAAACAAATAGAAAATGCCTGTGTGAAACCCAAAGGCTCAAATCCAAGTCCCTTTCAGGCAAGTAAGTAACACTTAGGCAGTTAAATTCAGCTAGTTAAATGGCATTTGTGCTACTTATGCAAATTAGGTAGATCCTGTATGATCAGAAGGGATCTACTCCAGCCAGTTATGCTGTATTGTGAACCTGCTCCTCCAGGAAGGTATATAATCACTATGAAAGTCTCTGAAATGTTAGTAAAAGAAAAATGAGGAGAAGGATGAAAGCACTTCTCCCATTTAGCCCAAGAGCCTAGTGGTTCAAGCACTCTTTAACCCCAGGTTCTGGTTAGGCCTGTATGAGTTGGAAGTGATCCAATCCGGCTTCAGATCTGGCTGCTCCAGATGTCAGGGATCTGTTCTGGAGCTCCAGACCGAGTTTCTGCTTCGATCTGGCCAAAGTGGCCCTGAAGCTTCGGCACCACCTCAGAGATCCGGCCATAGGGTATAATGGGGAATCAACGAAATATCTATACCTTTGTTGTTTTTTCTCTGATTTGGATGAAACTTGCAGGGGTGGTAGCCTCTGCTGGGAGCATGATACCTGCCAAATTTCAGGAAGAAAGGTGCAGGGGTTTTGGGGAAACTGTACCCCAAATTCTTGAAAGCAAAACTCATGTCACATCTGTGTGTTACACCACAGGGGGGCAAAACTGTAGTAATGCTAGCCCCTGGTGAAGCTACAAAATCTGCCAAGTTTCAAGAAGATAGGTGCAGGGGCTTGGGGGGAACTGCACCTTAAGCTGCGGACAAGCAAAACTTGTGATATTGGTGACCCTGCGTGTGTTAAGGCGCAGCAGGATGAAAGCTGCAGGGATAGTAGCCCCTGCTGTGGCCACAAGGCCTGCCAGCTGTCGAGGAGATGAGTGCAGGGGAGTTCTGGGGCCCTGCACCTCTAGCTGCTGACAGAAAAAACTTGTGATATGGGTACTTGTGCAACTGACTGTCTCTGTCTTGGGGCAGTTGATTGTCTGTATTGATTATTTCCTCTCTTTAGTCTCTGCTTTTGTAGATGTTAATTGATGGTAATTAACTGGCTACATTAGCTAGCTACTGTATATTGAGCTGGTCCCTGAGTGAAACATGATTGATTGGTAACTGGTAACACAGTAGCTTAGCGGCTAGGCCTGCAGTAGTGTCTCCCAGGCCCTAAGACAGACACAGTTGCACAAGCACCCATGGCACGAGTTATGTCTGTCAGCAGCTAGGGGTGAAGGGCCCCAGAACCCCCCTGCACCAATCTCATCAACAGCTGGCAGGTTTCATGGCCTCAGCAGGGGTCACCACCCCTGCAATTTTCACCCTGCTGCACTTAACACATGAGGTTTTCTTGTCCTCAGCTTGAGGTGCCATTCCCCCCAAACCCCTGCACCTATCTTCTTGAAACTTGGCAGACTTTGTGACCTCACCAGGAGCTACTACCCCTGCAGTTTTGACTCCACTGTGGTGTAATACATACATGTGACATGAGTTTTGCTTTCAAGAATTTGGGGTGCAGTTCCCCCCAAACCCCTGCACCAATCTTCTGGAAACTTGGCAGGGTTTGTGGCCTCAGCAAGGGCCATCACTCCTGCAGCTTTTATCCCCATGTGGTGTAACACGTACACGTGACATCAGTTTTGCTTTAAGGAATTTGGGGTGCAGTTCTCCCTGAACCTCTGCACCTATGTTCTTGAAACTTGTCCAACTTCATGCTATCAGCAGAGGCTACAATATTTGTAAGTTTCATCCACATCAGACAAAAACAAAGTTATAGATATGTCATTGTTTCCCCATTATACCCTATGGCCGGATCTCTGAAGTGGCTCCAAAGCTTTTCCAAAGTGCTTTGGAAGCTCTGAGCTGCTTCGGAAAGCCTAAAGAAGCCAGCACTTCAATCTGGACATGCTGCTTCAGGTGCTGAAGCGTCTGAAGCTTCTCCAGATCCGAAACTCTGTCTGAAGCCTCGCACAGCCCTAGTTCTGGTCTCCTTCCCCTGTACAGGTAGAAGATGCTCAATCTACATGTCCAACTTCCCAGCAAAGTGTCCTACTTACCAGGCTGCTATTAAAAAATTAGGAAAAAATAGACAGTGAGATAGATATTACCAAGCATACCATATACCCTCCCAGTTGAATTTGGCCCAGTGGGAAGCCAAGAAGGGAAGAAATGTGGGGTCAAAAAGAGAGAAGGCCACACACAGCAAGTGTGGTTTAGTAAGATGGACACTGCTGTGGAAGAGAGTGGGACCACGGCACTGCTTTCTTCTCCTGTCCACTGATGTCTATCCATTCTATTCAATGGATATTCAATGCAAAACACAGATATGTCATAGGCCCAATCTCTGGGCCTAATGTCCTAACTATTGGGTTATGGGGCTAAAGGTGGGTGCATCACTCCTATGTTTTATTTTTTGTGACTTATTTGGAGTAGGGTTGGAGTGCTGTAGTGAAGAAGGTCCATGAAATATGCAAGCAGCAAGGTTTTTCTGGCAATGTTTTATTGGACAAACTGCATAATTGGGAAATACGTTAGGAAAAATTTTGGGGTATATTGGCAGAGGTCATCCTTTATTTAACAGTCTGATGCACATCCATGATTAAGTGTATCTCCTATCAATAAAATCCTCCATTTTAATGTTACAATTATTACCATTCTTGGAGTGGCTTAACCTTTTTGTTGGTGAAGGGTGTTATTGCCTTTAAATAGTTTACTAACTACAATCCTCTTATTCAATGTTCTTTTTAGCAATGACCTGGCCGTTCTGAATTCTACTATCCAGGGAATTCAGTCTCCCTGGACTGGGA